TTCATTACAGAAATCTGGAAATTTGGCCCAGTAATTCTGAGGATTTCAATCGGGAATTCTGAGAATTCCATTAAAGAATTCTTGAAATTTAATCCAGTAATTCTGAGAATTTTAATCGGGAATTCTGAGTATTTCGTTAAATAATTCTGGAAATTTTACCGAGTAATTATGAGAACGACATTTAAGAATTCTGGGAATTTCAGCGAGATATGTCGAGAACGTCATCCGAAAATTCTGAGGACTTACCCTGGGAATTCAAAGAATTTTATTCATGGATTCTGGAAACTCCGTCCGAGAATTCTGAAAATTCCTGCGAGTTATCATGGATATGAAATCCAGGAGTTCTGAAAATTTGATCCGCGAATTCTGAGAATTCCATTAAAGAATTCTGAAAATGTTATCCAGTAATCTGAGAATTTTATCTGGGAATTCTGAGAATTCCATTAATGAATTCTATAAATTTGATCCAGTAATTCTGAAAACGACATCTAAGAATTCTGAGAATGCTAACCAGAAATTTTGGGAATGTCATCCGAAAATCCTGGAGACTTTATCTCGGTATTCAGAGAATTTTATTCGTGGCTTCTAAAAATTCCTGCTAGTTACCATGGTAATGACATCCAGGAATTCTCATAACTTGATCCAAGAATTCTGAGAATTTGGTCCGAGAATTCTGAGAATTCCATTAAAGAATTCTGGAGATTAGACCAAGAATTTAATCCGAGAATTGAGAGAATTCCATTAACGAATTCTGGAAATTTGAATCGTACAATCAAAACCGACATCTTAGAATTCTTGGAATGTCAGCCGGACATTTTGGGAATGTCTTTAAAAAATACTGGGGACTTTATTTGGGAATTCATATAATTTTATTCATGGATTCTGGAAACTCCGTCGAAGAATTCTGAAAATTCCTGCGATTTATCATGGTTATGACATCCAGAAATTCTGACAATTTTATCCGAAAATTCAGAGAATTTCATCAAAGAATTTCGAGAATTTGATCTGGGAATTATGAGAATTTCATTAAAGAATTGTGGAAATTTTACCCAGTAATTCTAAAAACAACATCTAAGAATGCTGGGAATGCCAGCCGGAAATTTGGGAATTTCATCCGAAAATTCTGGGGATTCAGAGAATTTAATTCGTGGATTCTGAAAATTCCTGCTAGTTATAATGGTTATGACATCCCGAAATTCTAAGAATTTCATCCAAGAATTCCATTGAAGAATTATGGAAATTTGAATGGTGCAATTAAAAACGACATCTTAGAATTCTTGGAATGTCAGCCGGAAATTTTGGGAATGTCTTCCAAAAATACTGGGGACTTTATTTGGGAATTCAGATAATTTTTATTCATGGATCCTGGAAACTCCGTCCAAGAATTCTGAAAATTCCTGTGAGTTAGCATGGTTATGACATCAAGAAATTCTAACAATTTTATCCTGAAGTTCAGAGAATTTCATCAAAGAATTCTGAGAATTTTATTTGGGAATTCTGAGAAATTCATTAAATAATTCCGGAAATTTGATCGACTAATTCTGAGAATTTGGTCTTGGAATTCTGGCCATTCCATTAAAGAATTCTGAACATTTGATCCAGTAATTCTGAAAACAACATTTTAGAATTCTGGAAATACCAGCCGGAAATTTTGGGAATGTCATCTGAAATTTCTGGGGATTTTATCTGGGAATTCAAAGCATTTTATTGGTGGATTGTGTAAATTCCTGCGGACTATCATGTTCATGACATCCAGAAATACTGATAATTCAACACTTGAATTCTGAGAATTCCATTAAAGAAATCTGGAAATTTGATTCAGCAATTATGAGAATTTTATCCGGGAATTCTGATAATATCATTGAAGAATTCTGGAAATTTAATCTATTTATTATGAGAACGACATCGAAGAATTCTGGAAATTTCAGCCATCCGAAAATTCCGGGGACTTAATCTAGGAATTCAGAGAATTTTATTCGTGGATTCTGGAAACTCCGTCCGAAAATTCCTGCGAGTTACCATGGTTATGACATCCACAAGTTCTGAGAATTGTATACAGGGATTCTGAGAATTCCATTAAAGAATTCTTGAAATGTAATCTAGTAATTCTGAAAATGTTATCCGGAAATTCTGAGAATTCTGTTAAGTAATTATAGAAATTTGACCCACAAATTTAGCTCTTAGCTGGGATTTGAAAGAATTTTATTCGTGAATTCTGAAAATTCCTGCTAGTTATCATTGTTATGACATCCAGAAATTCTGAGAGTTTATCTGGGAATTCTTGGAATTCCATTACAGAAACCATCCAGTAATTCTGAAAATTTTATCCGGGAATTCTGAGAATTGCGTTAAATAATTCTGAAAATTTGACCGAGTAATTATGAGAACGACATCTAAGAATTCTGGAAATTCCAGCCAGAAATTTTGGGAATGTCATCCGAAAACTCTGAGGACTTAATCTGGGAATTCAGAGAATTTTGTTCGTGGATTCAGGAAACTCCGTCTGAGAATTCTGAAAATTCCTGCGAGTTATCGTGGATATGAAATCCAGGAGTTCTGAAAATTTTATCCGGAAATTCGGAAAATTCCATTAATGAATTCTGGAAATTTTATCCAGTTATTCTGAGAATTTTATCCGGAAATTCTGAGATTTCCATTAAAGAATTCTGGAGATTTGATGCAGTAATTCTTAGATTTTAATTCGGGAATTCTGAGGTTTTTATCTAGGAATTCAGAGAATTTTATTCGTGGATTCTGGAAACTCCGTCCGAAAATTCCTGCGAGTTACCATGGTTATGACATCCACAAGTTCTGAGAATTGTATACAGGGATTCTGAGAATTCCATTAGAGAATTCTTGAAACTTAATCCAGTAATTCTGAAAAATGTATCCGGGAATTCTGAGAATTCTATTGAATAATTCTGTAAATTTGACCCTGTAATTATGAGAACGACATCTTAGAATTCTAGGAATGCCATCCGGAAATTTTTGAAATGTCATCCGAAAATTCAGGGAACTTTAGCTGGAATTTCAGAGAATTTTATTCGTTGATTCTGAAAATTCCTGCTAGTTATCGTGGTTATGACATCCAGAAATTCTGATTATCTGATAATTTATCCGGGAATTCTTCTAATTCCATTACAGAAACCTGGAGAATTGATCCAGTAATTCTGAGAATTGCGTTAAATAATTCTGAAAATTTGACCGAGTAATTATGAGAACGACATCTAAGAATTCTGGAAATTCCAGCCAGAAATTTTGAAAATGTCATCCGAAAACTCTGAGGACTTAATCTGGGAATTCTGAAAATTCCTGCGAGTTATCATGGATATGAAATCCAGGAGTTCTGAAAATTTTATCCGGGAATTCTGAGAGTTCCATTAAAGAATTCTGGAAATTTTATCCGGAAATTCTGAGTTTTTTATTAAAGAATTCTGGAAATTTTATGCAGTAATTCTTAGATTTTAATCCGGGAATTCAGAGAATTTCATAAAAGAATTTTGGGTAGGGGAAATGTTGGCTTCGGCAATACCTTAACCTATTATCATAGACAAACAGACATAACACATTGAATATTTCTCAATGTAAAACATCGTCGCTAAAACATTACTGCCATCTGTTGAGTACACTGTGGTGGGAAGTTCGCTGATTAGATGGCGGTAGTGTGTAAACATCAAACGCAAGGAAATTGACTATGTGCGCCACAGGTGGTGGTACTACCACCTACGATACTTTTAAATTGATCGTTAAATGCTTATTCGATGAACAACTTTCGAGTGTTATGTCTGTTTGTCTGTGCTATTATCGTCAGGGGGGTAACAAAGTCCTATAGCACTCAAATTTGGCCAATAGTTGCTCTGAAACACAATGTATCATGCCAAAATTGACCTTATTGAGGTTAAGGTATTGCCGAAGCCAACTTTTCCCATTAATTCTGAGAATTTTATTTGGGAAATCTGAGATTTCCATTAATGATCTCTGGAAATTTGATCCAGTAATTCTGAGATTTTGAAACGGGAATTCTGAGGTTTTTATCCAGGAATTCAGAGAATTTTATTCGTTGATTCTGGAAACTCCGTCCGAGTCTGCAAGTTATCATAGTTATGAAATCCAGATATTCTGGGAATTTTATCCGAGAGTTCTATGAATTCCATTAAAGAATTCTGGAAATTTGATCCAACATTCGGTAGACCCCTGACATTGAAATTTTGGGAATGTCAGCCGGAAATTTTGAGAATGTCATCCGAAAATTCTGGAGATTTTAACTGGGAATTCAGATAATTTTATTCGTGGATTCTGGAAACTCCGCCCGGGAATTCTGAAAATTGCTTCCGGCAATGGCAGCAAGGAATCTTGTTTGAACCTCTCCGGTTGCCGGTGCTGTCCTCTTTACCAAATCACTCCATCGCAATGGCATTGCCTTTTCGTCATAATTGGTTATACAAAGCGTAGGTCTATCTGTGATGTGCTCTGTTCGCATACGTTTCAAGCCAAATAAAATGTAAAACAAACGTGTTGCGTGTTGATCTCTAACGAGATGGAGGCCAAATGGATACATCGAATCTACAATCCTGCCATTGAATCGATCACCTATCCTGGAGTTCTGAGAATATTATCCGAAAAAAATATCCGGGAATTACATCCGGAAATTCTGGGTACACTTCCCGGGCATTTTGAGAATTTCGTTAGAAAATTCATCCAGCTTTCCAAAATACTAAGGAATGCATGAAACGCGTTCAATGATCTCACAATATGATTTATGTTTATAAATATCCAATCAACTTTGCATGACCGCACAATCCGCGATAACTTCATCTGAACAAACAAAATGAGACTCGGTCGCAGACGCTTTCAATTTGATATTTAAAGTTTGTCACCATGCAGTCATGCGGTCCCAATCCCCCCCCCCCTCCGCCCACCCACTGCATGCAACCGCAAGGAACGTCGATAAAGAGACTGCAAGCAAATACAATCAAGAAACACTCGATATCTGTACTCACATTCTTTGCGCGTTCAGCAAGTCTTGAAACGACGAACTCTGGTTCCGCTGCAGTGGAGCCCTCCGTCCCAGCTGTTGTAGTTGTTGTTGTTGTTGTTGTTGCTGTTGCTGCTGCTGCTGCAAGCTCTGATAGCTGATCCGCGGAGGAAGGCTTGCAAATTCACTGCCGTCGTTGAGCAAAAAATTACTATTGACACCGAAGCGGTAGGGATTCTGCTGTTGAATGACACCACCAATCACGCTGCCGCCACTTAGGTCCAGCGGTAGTGTCTGTTGCTGCTGATGATGCAGCTGAGTTGGCGAAAACAGTCCGATATTCGATGGCGATGACGAGTTTGGCGCGTCAAGGTAGCTCTGTTGAGAATGGAAATTATTTTTATTTGAGCCGATGGTGACAGTTGTGAGGTGTGGCACGGCGTGGGCGGAGCGGATCATACTCACCAAATTGGGCGGAAGCGACAGTGGTTCGCCTCCCTTCAGAGTGGGACTGTCCAGCTGATCCGGCGAGTCCTGGCTGGTGGCGTTCTCCAAACCCCGGATGGCATTGGCCAGCCAAACGTCCAAGTGTTTCGACGGGTTGAACGAGGGCGGTTGTTGTTGCTGCTGCTGCTGTTTGCTGGATGATTTTTTCTCTGTTGTGCCGCCAAGGAATCAAATAACAAAAACAAACAGAAAACAAAATCCATTATTCAGCGAGGGTGGCGTGTTTAAAAACGGATCGACTGGGAGAGGGGGGCGGGGGGATAGAAGTTACGTGCTCTGGTGCTCTGTAGATTAGTGGTGGTGTGGTAGTGAACCTCTTTAACACTAAAACGCGCAAATATGTATTTTCACCTACGATACGTACAGTTGTTTTTTTTTTTTATTCGCACAAGGACGCCTGACTTCGATGTTGAGTTTTTGTTATTTCGCTGATTTTTAAAACGCCGCGGGCATGCTTTTCGCTCTGATTCTTCATTGTTGTTGAGTGCGATAGCTTTGCCAATGCCATAACCTGAACTTGTCCGTTGGCGGTTCGCAGGCAAGCGATCGGTGGATGCCAGAGGAAAATGCTCGGATAACCTGACTGGCTGGATACCTACCTTATGCATAGCATTTACATACACACAAATGGCATTGTTTGCATTCTGATAAACCATTTCGTCAACTCTTTCCCTCCATATGATCCATGAAATTTTTATGCGTGGGTTATGGTGGCGTATGCGGACCGAACGACTACTCTGCAGAATCATAAAACTTTATATCTCACACACTCGACACTCCTAAATTGGGGTGGACACTCAAAGCAGAGAGACATTTTTCCGATTTGGTGACAAATTTCTTTTGGCATTTAAATGTTTCAAACAAACTTGATGAAGATCTATGAAGCAAGTGCGTAAGCTGTGTCTACCGGTCGGTTATTTATGGAACCATTGAGTGGGTGCGTGCATACAGCAGGTTTCAATTTTTTCAAGCACGAAATACACTCTAGGAAAAATGCCGTTTTTTGTAAATGTCCGTACTAAGATTATTTCACAGCTTTCTAAGAAGTTTTACCGAAATCTCAACAGCACCGTACGGTAAACGGATCGGCGATTTTTCGCAAATTTCCACAGATAACCACAAGAAAAATCACCGAACTGTTTACCGAACGATCAGCTGTTGAGATTTCGGTAAAACTTTACAGAAATCTGTGAAATATTCTTAGCGTGTAACCTAAATGACGTAGGGTACATGTCCCTAACCTCGGTCTAATATGATGCTTTCATTTACATATTATGCCATATCCTATTTAATAATTGAGCTTCAACAGATATTTCAATGCCAACATACAAGCTTAAATATCCTTATTATTTGGATGTTACCAAGGTAACAATTTGATGCTTAACAAGTGTTGTTTAATCGTTTTTAATTCAGCCTTAGTATGAATAATTGTTGTACATAGACCACTTTAACCTTTGTTCAGCTTTTAAACATCTAAATCTAGTGAATTTAATCAGCCGAAAGCTTAACAGTTATATAAATTATAATCTTTTTAAGGCATTAAATAACAGTCTTTTCCAACCCTTGTTCAGCCTTATAGTTCTATTTAAAAATAATAATGGAAAACCGCTTCATATCTTAAATATTTTTACGGGACTGCAACAAACAAGGTGCTGAATAATTGTAATTGCATATTTATATTGTTATTATAAGTCTAAACATTACCTTTGCATTTCGGAATTCGAACCGGCAGTCGCTGATTCATAGGCATTCCTCTCATTTTCAAGTGTAGTTAATACAATGTGGACCCAAGTGCGCGATTTATTTCGATGGTCATGGGGAAGCTATTTTAGTGCCATAATTGAGTTGTATTTTTGGAATGCTGTCTGAAAATTCAGTGCAATATAGCAGTCAAAACACGGAAATACAAATGTTTATTCTCCCGACGTCGTCGCATCCCACTTCCACCTGGAGTTATTCCTAAAAACTCCTATACCTTGTCTCTACTGCTGCCGCTGCTTGGGATTAGAAAGGTAGGCAGTGAATTCAGAAAAACTAAAATGCTGGAAATACAACGAGTGAAACTGACTACATTTAACAAATCAGGCTATCAAAGTATTTGTAGTGCATTGCTGATTTGTGGAGCTAAAATAAGGCTTGTTCAATCTTTAGATCAGTTCCCTTATTGAGGTTGAATTAGGGGAATACAATTAGCTTCATGCACTACTAATCAACTATACATTCAGCCTGCCTAATCAGCTTTGTACACCTTAAATCAACCAATAACCAGCTTCTGTTCTTACTGTTCAGCTTGAATTGTTACTTGGGTGATTAGGCACGATGGAAAATTGTAAAACTCACCATTTTAACATGAAAACTCTTCAGGTACGTGGATGAATGTCGGTCTACTGTACTCAAAATGGATCTATAAATGGATGCAACTTTGGTCTATCGAAGATGACCCTCCTACAAATGTCCGACATCTGAAATCGCGCTTCTTTTTCATTCCTTATCATTCATACGTAACCACATTGTTGACGTCATCTAAACTTCTCGCGTAAGAACTGATGAGGAAGAAAGAGCCAGTGTTTTTTTTCCGGTTGATCCAGATAACATAAACCACGATGCTTTTAGAATCATCATAAAAGCCAAATCGGGATTTTCACGTCCGGTTGTATTGGTGCGATATGTGAGAGCGTGTTAGAGAAAATCCGAGGAAAATACATAAAAAATCGCTGTCAAGCTCATTTTGACAGATCTAATTTCATACATTTTTTAGGTTAGCCAGAGGAAAATAATAAACAACTTTACACGGCGATATACCCGCTAGTGTGCGTTCGTTAAACATCACTAATCTCTATAGATCATCTAACGCCCACACATATCATGAACTGTCAAGTCAATTCTAGATCAACATGTGAAATGGACCTATGTTCCAAATGTAAACAATGGCTTTAAACGTCGATTTCTCGCGGATTGAGACTCTTTCAGGCAAACCAAAAGCAGCATCTGGCAGAGTTAGTTTGCTCGATCAAAGGGTGTAGTTAATTCGCGTGGACGTGTTGTGATTCATGAGCAATCGTGTAAAGTCATTATTTACATTCGGGTCCTAGGACCTTACAACATGTTGCTCTAGAAGTAATAGCACCGAAGGGCCTAAATCGGAATTTTAATGCACGGCCGATGAGATCGACTGAAAATTGAGTGGTCTTCCACTCATAATCTCAAACATGTAGGTCAAAAAATAAATCCATTAGATTTTAACAAAACTTTCATGAGATCTCATAATTGGGAATCGCACCACCAAATCACATGAACCTTACAGGGGTTACTCAAAATAACTAGGATAGGCAAATTTTTGGTCAACTTTGGAGTATTGTAACTTCGTCAAATATGATCCGATTTTAAATCTTCCAAGAGCATTTGACTGAAAAAACTAATATTGTTCTACGGTGTAGCAACGAAAATAATCCTGGTCACCGGATACCGGAGATATTCCGCGTTTCCGGAGGGCTTGTCTAACTTGCTAAATTTTTGGTGAAATTTTATATATGATGCTGGTTAAATATAAATATTTTTAGTAAATACAACGAAAGAAGAACCATTTCTAAAGCGAATCACATACCAATAACTAAACTCGGCCTATAATCAACGGAGATATGGCCATTTCCCTGGAATCGGTTCTGGTGGAGGGTTCTGAATGCGGGCAGATCATTTAATCACTCAAAACATGCCGTGCGACAGCTCTTTCTGTATGGTTTCTCGTCATTAGACTTTCGATAAACTTTAAATGCATCATTGGTCACATTGGCTACTCTCGGAACATCCAGTATGCCCCCGGGGGAACCTCGAGCAGGGGACAATTGCATTTTTACACCAAAACATGCCATGCGACAGCTCTTTTTTCATGGATTTCATGAATATGCTTTCTATAGAATTTAAGTGGATCATTGACCACATTGACTTTTCCGCAGTCACTGGAATGCCCTGGGGGGAACCTGTTGTAGGATGCAATCACATTTTTAGACAAAACAATTGCATTGGGGAGCTCATTCAGGAACCAGCAGATGCCCCAGTATAACATGTAAGAGGAAAATTGTATTTTCACTTCACAATGCCGTTCGGCAGCTCGAACTATCTGAAGTCTTGAAATGGACCATTGACTACTAGCAGTGGATAGGGATATTAGGTCTTTAAACTCTGGTTGTAGACCAATAAAAGTATCTCTCTTGTTTTAATGTAAGGTGTAGCAAGAGCACAACAACAACTCTTTAATGAACAAAATGAATGTCGACGTCAGCTCTAGCACTTTTGTGCTAGCTAGTGACCATCAGTTAGTGCCATTTCCTGCATTTCAAATAAACAATAGTGACAGTGCGAATAAACCATTCTTATTATAAATATACCACGCTTTTAATAAATAAATAATATAATAAACCACGCTTTTTATCTGGGTTATAATAAACCACGCTTTTTATCTGGGTTCCAAAGCTATTTCCTATTTGCAAAGCTATGTATTATTAATGAATTATTATTTATAAATTAAGAATGTCATTTAAAATTGTAGGAAAATGTTATAATGGAACCGTCTAAAGGGTGTCCACGATGAAATTGCCACACACAAAATGGATTCGCAAAATTCGAGTTTTCATCCGATTGCCATCAAATTTTCAGGGATTGAGAAATAACTATTAAACTTCATTTTACCATTTTACTCGTATTTTATTTACAGTCCTTACACAACCTGTGAATCAACCGTTTTTTGCATGTAAACCCATACTTTCTTCAGTTCCTCGACTGTCTTCACTACCTTAGGTCGTTTAAGAAGGTGCTGCTTCATAATCGCCCAGTACTTCTCGATGGGGCGGAGCTCCGGAGTGTTGGGAGGGTTGAACATTTTCGGCACGAAATTGACCTTATTGTCCGCATACCACTTCAGCACGTCCTTGGAGTAGTGGCATGAGGCCAAATCCGGCCAGAAGATTGTTGGGACGTTGTGGGCCTTCAGGAGAGGAAGCAGTCGCTTCTGGAGGCACTCTTTTATGTACACCTGTCCGTTCATCGTGTCCTGGGTCACGAAAGGTGCACTCCGCTTCCCGCACGTGCAGATGGCTTGCCAAACCAGGAATTTCTTCGCAAATTTGGACATCTTCTGAGTGCGGACATGCTC